CATTGAGAAGTCTCCTTTGAACATGCTAGCTAAAATATTGGCAGCCACCCCAATTTATAACTAACTTTTAATGTAAGGTGCACATGGAAGGGCTTTGCACAGAACAAATAATGCAATAACTGCTGCTTGCAGCTGGCTAGACAGGAAAATGACATACCAGTGAGTAAAACCAACAATGGTAACCACCCAGCTTTTCTAAATCATATTCAAATTATTCATTATAATCCACTATTTATTCCTAAGAACCTCTTCATATACACTTTGATGTTCATTTTAAGGAACAGTTAAAGAGGAAAAACTAATTGATTAGGTCATTAAGTATGGAAACCTCAATCTGATGAACACAGAAGAATCTTCACAGCCTCATATTGACCATTTATTGCTATACAGCTCTATTGAGGACACTGAACGTTTCTCAATTTTAATTCTTTGATTTTATAACATGATTGTATTATGTTCACCATGACAATGTCTACCTTTTCTACGATCCATGAGATCAAATAAATACAATATTGCATTCACCAATGTAGTGATATACTACTCTGCATAGGATTCATTACAAACCACCTTTTAGGTAGGTTTTGCACTAGTCATCTGCCATTTTGTTTTTCAAAGTATTGCTGGGTTTATAATCCACACTTAATTAGAAGTGAGACGGAGATATTATAAGGATATACAATTATATTCGATTAGGATGGTAATTTTTTCTAATTTATATATGTAACTTTTCTAAATCATAGCCTAGATTGTAAGCTCCAAGGAGCAGGGCCCTCCTTACCCTCTTGTATTGAACTGTATTGTTGCTGTATTGTCTCCCAATATATTGTAAAGTGCTGAGCAAACTGTTGGCACTATATAAATCCTGTATAATAATAGTAATAATAGCCGTAAATATCCTGTACTGGGTTTCTCTTGAATGGAGAAAACTAGGTGTATGGCCCCATAGACATTTCGGATGATTTTCATACACTCTACATGTGCACATGTTTACTTTCAAATATGTACAGATACAGCATAATTTGAAAAAATGATTCGCACTAGGGCTCTAAGAAAGATAGATCCCACAGTAGCCACTTTTTAGTGCTATGTAATGTGTATGGGTCTGTAACAAGGAAGGCTTTACCTCCCACCACTCTACTGGGAGGACAAGGAGCCACAACTGCAGACCAGAAATATGTAACTGATTGGGATATTACAACAAGAGAGTGCCAGTGCCACCAGCCAATATATGCGCTCACCTTTACTTTAGACCAGCGGTTCTCAACCTGGGGGTCGCGACCCCTTTGGGGGTCGAACGACGCTTCCACAGGGGTCGCCTAAGACCATCGGAAAACACATATTTCCGATGGTCTTAGGAACCGAGACACCGCTCCTCTAGCCGTCTCCAGGTGTGGGCGGGATGACATGCCGCCCCTGTCATCTGGACACACCCCGGGATCAATCCTCGCCGGTGATTGGCCGCCGGAACTGTAGCTCAGGAGAGGCACACAGGCGGCCAATCACCGGCGAGGAGGTGGAGCTTGGAGAGGAGGAGCCGAGCGGCACCGCGAAGATCGAGCGAGTGAAGAGGAGGAGAGCGGCCAGAGAAGGAAGACAGCTGACAGGTAAGTGTCTGTACCATGGGAGAGGGAGGGAGCGAGCGAGCCCAGGCTGGAGCAGGGGACAGCAAGGTAAGTATCATTGGTGTCAGTGGGAATAGTGCCCCATCATTGGTGTCACTAATACCAATGATGGGGCACTATTCCTCACACTGACATCAACGATGGGACACTATTCCTCCCACTGACACCAATGATGGGGCACTATTCCTCCCACTGACACCAACGATGGGGCACTATTCCTCCCCCCACTGACACCAACGATGAGGCACGATTCCTCCCCCAAATGACACCAACGATGGGGCACTATTCCTCCCCCACTGACACCAAGGATGGGGCACAATTCCTCCCCCACTGACACCAAGGATGGGGCACTATTCCTCCCCCCACTGACACCAAGGATGGGGCACTATTCCTCCCCCCACTGACACCAAGGATGGGGCACTATTCCTCCCCCCACTGACACCAAGGATGGGGCACAAATCCTCCCCCCACTGACACCAAGGATGGGGCACTATTCCTCCCCCCACTGACACCAAGGATGGGGCACTATTCCTCCCCCCACTGACACCAAGGATGGGGCACTATTCCTCCCCCCACTGACACCAATGATGGGGCACTATTCCCCCCACTGACACCTATGATGGGGCACTATTCCTCCCCCCACTGACACCAATGATGGGGCACTATTCCTCCTCCCACTGACACCTATGATGGGGCACTATTCCTCCTCCCACTGATACCAATGATGGGGCACTATTCCTCCTCCCACTGATACCAATGATGGGGCACTATTCCTCCCACTGATACCAATGATGGGGCACTATTCCTCCCACTGATACCAATGATGGGGCACTATTCCTCCCACTGATACCAATGATGGGGCACTATTCCTCCCACTGACACCAATGATGGGTCACTATTCCGCCCACTGATACCAATGATGAGGCACTATTCCTCCCACTGATACCAATGATGGGGCACTATTCCTCCCACTGATACCAATGAGGGGGCACTATTCCTACCACTGATACCAATGATGGGGCACTATTCCTCCCACTGATACCAATTATGGGGCACTATTCCTCCCACTGATACCAATTATGGGGCACTATTCCTCCCACTGACACCAATGATGGGACACTATTTCCCCCACTGATACCAATGATGGGGCACTATTCCTCCCACTGACACCAATGATGGGGCACTATTCCTCCCACTGATACCAATGATGGGGCACTATTCCTCCCACTGACACCAATGATGGGGCACTATTCCTCCCACTGATACCAATGATGGGGCACTATTCCTCCCACTGACACCAATGATGGGGCACTATTCCTCCCACTGACACCAATGATGTGGCACTATTCCTCCCACTGACACCAATGATGGGGCACTATTCCTCCCACTGACACCAATGATGGGGCACTATTCCCCCCACTGATACCAATGATGGGGCACTATTCCTCCCCCTGACACCAATGATGGGGCCCTATTCCTCCCACTGATACCAATGATGGGGCACTATTCCTCCCACTGACACCAATGACGAGGCACTATTCCTCCCACTGACGCCAATGACGGGGCACTATTCCTACCACTGATACCAATGACGGGGCACTATTCCTCCCACTGACACCAATGACGTGGCACTATTCCTCCTACTGCAAAATTACAGTTATGAAGTAGCAACGAAAATAATTTTATGGTTGGGGGTCACCACAACATGAGGAACTGTATTAAAGGGTCGCGGAGTTAGAAAGGTTGAGAACCACTGCTTTAGACCTTTGCACAGGTCTTAATGCATCTTCCCCCCTGGGGTTTATATCCAGTGGCAATCTGCTTCCTAAGGATGCCATGCTGCATAGTGAATACAGGGATCACTCACTTGGCATGGGCACCATCCATAGAACACCAATTTTTCTCATTGAAAGCAAGGCATTCTCTGATTGGACTAGGTGCATACTGTGATGTCACCACCCTGCCTCCCACCTTGTCCAATCAGAGAATACATTACTTTCATTTAAAAAAACTAAGGCATTTTATGAATGGTGTCTGTGCCTAGCAGGTGACCCTCTGTGGTTACTATGCAGCATGACAGCCTTTCTGCATAGAACCCGGAAGATAGCAGTGATCATTGTAGTAGCAGAGACTACTAACCGGATTTCCTGCTTCCACATGGATTTCATTGGTATGGAATATGCATACTTACACTGGTCCAAGCTGGACCTATGTAACTATGGTATAAAATCCATTCCTGGAATTCAGCTTTAATTATCACATGTAAATTGCATTAAGAAATAAATATACAGAGATGAGCATCAATGAGTTAGATACAGACCCGCTGTTGAACCGGCCAGGGTTTTGTTATTGCAGACAGATCACAAGCTGTCATCAGCATTGCCCTGCAGAGAACAGAGAATCATGTTTGAAACTTTTTTTTTTGCATAGTCTTTATTTAAAGTATCCAGCATTCACAGAATTACAAAACACAGTAGAAACATATGTATACATGGTGATCCACGTACGTTCCACAATCTGTCAAGGAATACATTATAAAGTATATTCATCATATAGTGTTGAGATTACCTATTGGGGCATTCAATAACAACACAGACCTCATAACATAAAAGCAATCTACACGTTTGAAACTTTGAATCAGGTAAAACGTGTTGAAAGTTTGGAGTTTAAGTGATATACCTTACTGGCTAACTTAAGTTATTAAAGATCCAAGTTTCCGGGATGACTTAGATCTCTTTTCAGGCTTTTTACAATTCAGATTTTATACAATGAATTGTATGAAGCCTGAAGGAGGGATCTAAGTTATTTCAAAAGCTTGCATCTTTAGATAACTACCGTATTTTTTGCTCCATAAGATGCAATTTTTCCCCCCCAAAAAATGGCGAGAAATGTCTGTGCGTCTTATGGAGCGAATATTGACCAGGCCTCCCCCATCGCCGCCTCATTAGATTAGTGGGCCAGTCAGCAGGGAGGGGATGGGGCCAGGTCCAGAAGCTCCACTGATCCCGCCCCATGCAGCCTGTATGCTCAAGAGGGAGCTGCTGTAGTAGAAGTTGTGATGTGAGTGGGAGTCCTGCCCCTAGACCTCAGAGAGGATGCTGAGCACGGCTGGCCAGGTATGTCCCCCCCCCCCCCCCCCCCCATACACTGCCTGTGGACTATTAACCAAACCATGAGCTGTTTTTCACAAACTGTACATCTGTGCACTGCTGAAAGAACTCTGTTCATCCCCTGTAATATGTCTGCAGTATCTGGTCATCTCCAGTAGTGTGTCTGCAGTCATCTCCTGTACTATGTTTTTAGTCTCTGGTCATCTCCTGTACTGTGTCCGCAGTCTCTAGTCATCTCCTGTACTGTGTCCGCAGTCTCAGGTCATCTCCTGTACTATGTCCGCAGTCTCTGGTCATCTCCTGTACTGTGTCCGCAGTCTCAGGTCATCTCCTGTACTATGTCCGCAGTCTCTGGTCATCTCCTGTACTGTGTCCGCAGTCTCAGGTCATCTCCTGTACTATGTCCGCAGTCTCTTGTCATCTCCTGTACTATGTCTGCAGTCTCTGGTCATCTCCTATACTATGTCCGCAGTCTCTGGTCATCTCCTGTACTATGTCTGTAGTCTCTGGTCATTCCCTGTACTGTGTCCGTAGTCTCTGGTCATCCCCTTTACTAAGTCTGTAGTCTCTGGTCATCTCCTGTACTAGGTCTGTAGTCTCTGGTCACCTCCTGTACTATGTCTGCAGTCTCTGGTCATCTCCTGAACTATGTCTGCAGTCTCTGGTCATCCCCTTTACTATGTCTGCAGTCTCTGGTCATCCCCTTTACTATGTCTGCAGCCTCTGGTCATCTCCTGTACTATGTCTGCAGTCTCTGGTCATCTCCTGTACTGTGTCCGCAGTCTCTGGTCATCTCCTGTACTATGTCTGCAGTCTCTGGTCATCTCCTGTACTAGGTCTGCAGTCTCTGATCATCTCCTGTAATATGTCTGTAGTCTTGGTTCAGAATATTTTTTTTCTTGTTTTCCTCCTCTAAAACCTAGGTGAGTGTTATGGTCAGGTGCATCTTATGGAGCGAAAAATATGGTAAATATAGGTTGTCACTTAAACTCCAAACTTTATGCACTAATCGATGGCCAGCATGGTACAAGCTACATACAACCTGAAATAAACTATACTGTATGCTGAGTAATTGCAAACTGCAACTTACATTGATGAACATAATACTGCAGTAACCAAAGAAAAAAAAGGTTAAAGGAAAGGAAGTAGTTATACCGTATTTGCCAGAGAAAATGTAAAAAAAATCCTTTTCCCAAAAAATATCTAGTTATATTTGGATGGACTTCCTCTTCCTTAACTGACCAGAGAAATGGAGGATTTGAAACAAAATATTTTTTTACCCAGAGGGCCAGGAGAATCTATACTCATGCATTTAAAATAGTAAAAAGTGCACCCTTTATCACTTAAGAAGAGTGCAGTAGGTTCATGTGTTTTTACAGTTTTGAGCTATCACAAAATGCAGCACATCCAAAAATAGCAGGCACCAAATCTCAATTGTATTTTACTGTGTTGGAGAGTAAAAAAACAGTTAACTGTTGCTACTAAAAAGAATAGCCTTAAGCTAATACACACACACAAAGAGTTTAGTTGGAAGGATTACCATAAAAAAAGAACACACTAAACTAAAAAGAGGAAAATTTTTGATTAAAATGGTTGTAAACTTCAGACATGAAATATGAACAACGCATATCCCTCTATAGTGTGTGCTTGTTTCAAGTAAGAGCACTACGTGTTGTTTTAGTCTGCTGCCTAGTTCCTCTGCTATCTGCATGAGTCACTATTGACAGGTCTTCCTGACATCAAGAAAAAAAAAGGTGACAGGGGAGGGACTTCCAGCACACAGCCTGTGATTACTTTGTTTCTGTGTGCTGTGTGAAGGTGGAAGTGTCTCTCTCCTCACTAAGCTCTGCAGTGTGCAATTTTAGCTTCCCACCCCCTGCTTTCTGAACTCCTAGACACATTTTATAAATTCTGGACTTTGAACAGATGCAGAGAAGAGAAGACCACAGGTAAACAAGTACAAGTTATGTAGGAGGGTTTTTTTCATCTCTGTGTATCACCTAAGGCTAGTCACTTCACTTGGTGTATATAAGGGTTTACAACCACTGTAATTCCACACAAACAAAAAGATTCCTTCCCAAACATTAAAATTGTTTTAGTTTTTAAAAAAAAAAAAAACTTTAACAAAACTTTACAGTCTGCATTTAAAATGACCACATAAATGAACTCTATAGAAACATAGAAATGTGATGGCAGAAAAAGACCGGGTGGTCCATTTTTTTTTGGGGGGGGGGGGGGGTACTTTCTGAAATTAGTTTTGAACTTTCCTCCAGTTAGTTTAAGGGCCTGTTCCCACCACAAAAAGGCACTCCAGATGTATTCCAGATACAGTTTTGCTTACAGTTCACACCACACTCCATTCTGGTGCAGTTTTGATGCAGTTTGCTATATTCCAGTATGGCTCTGTGCAGAAAAAATGCAGCACATTCTTTTTTTCTGCACCAGAAACTGACTGGAACAGACTGCACTGGTGTGAACTAGGGCATTTGGAATACATAGAAAACACTGTGCATACATTTTTGATGCAGAAAAAAACCCCGCACTGGACTGCATTTAGTGTGAACTAGCCCTAAGGTCATGTCCCCATGTTCTTGATTTTCATTTCATGTTGAAAATACTGCCCTCCTGAATCTTATTCACCCTTTGATGTATTTAAAGGTTTCAATCATGTCTCCCCTTTCCCTTCTTTCCTCCAGACTTTTCATATTAAGTTCCTGAAGTCTCTCCTGATATGCTTTATCCCACAGACCTTTCACCGTTTTTGTTACCCATCTCAGGACTCTTATCAATATCATTTTGGGAGTGAGGTCTCCAGAACTGGACACAGTATTTTAAATGAGGTCTAACTAAAGATCTATATAGAAGAACCAGGACCTCCTTCCTCCTGCCTGGCCACACTGTTTGCTCTTTTTGTAATCATCTGAAATAAGTACCCCAAATCCTTTTTCTCTCAAGTGCTGGCCAACAATGTACCCCCACTGTTGTACACTCTCGAGGGATTATTTTATCTTAGATGTGTTATTTTACATTTAGAAACATTGAACTGCAATGTCCACTTTTTTGACCAATCTTTAAGCAATGCCAAATCATTTTCCATGTTACGTACACTTCCAGGGATATCAACCCTATCGCACACCTTTGTGTTATCAGCAAACAATTATATCTTACTCAACAACCCTTTAGTTATATCACTTATGCTGAGAAAATGTAGAACCATTTAAAAAAAAGGCTGTCAATTAGATTATAGATTATAAGATTATATTATGGATGTCTTATTATTGCCTACAACGGCAATGGGCAAACTACGGCCCGCGGGCCGTATACGGCCCGGCGGACTTTTTAATCCGGCCCGCAGAGCTAGGCTCCTCTCACAGTCCGCCCTGAAGACCGGTGTAGGATGAAAATCTGTCTCCTATGAGGATCTGTCCCCCGACGTATCTGCGCATGTGCCGGAGATCGCCGATCGGCTGCTAATGCCTGAAACTGGCACATGCGCAGATACGTCGAGGGGGACAGATCCTCATAGGAGACATTTTCATGCTACACCGGAACGGCGCAGGAATACGGCGAGAGGAACGCGCGGAGCAAAGGTAAGTGAATTGACACAGGGGGGACTTGGGGACTTAATATGGGGGATGAATTACTATGGGGGATGAATTACTATAGGGGGGATGAATTACTATATGGGGGATGAATTACTATAGGGGCGATGAATTACTATAGGGGGGATGAATTACTATAGGGGGGATGAATTACTATATGGGGGATGAATTACTATATGGGGGATGAATTACTATAGGGGGAATGAATTACTATAGGGGGGATGAATTACTATAGGGGGGATGAATTACTATACGGGGGATGAATTACTATGGGGGATGAATTACTATATGGGGGATTAATTACTATAGGGGGGATGAATTACTATAGGGGGGATGAATTACTATATGGGGGATGAATTACTATGGGGGATGAATTACTATATGGGGGATGAATTACTATGGGGGATGAATTACTATGGGGGATTAATTACTATGGGGGATGAATTACTATATGGGGGATGAATTACTATGGGGGATGAATTACTATATGGGGGATGAATTACTATATGGGGGATGAATTACTATGGGGGATGAATTACTATATGGGGGATGAATTACTATGGGGGATGAATTACTATATGGGGGATGAATTACTATGGGGGATGAATTACTATATGGGGGATTAATTACTATGCTTACTATGGGGGAATATTACTATACTTACTATGGATGACACATACACATCATTTATCTACTCTTGGTCCGTCCCCGGGTCCAATATATGAACCCATTGCGGCCCTCAAGTCAAAAAGTTTGCCCACCCCTGGCCTACAACAAAGGCATTTGCTAGTGAAACTAGAAAACCGCAAAAAGCTCATCATAGAAAGTCCCCGCATTCCCCTCTACCTTATCTTATCTTATATTACTATGGTCTGTTAATGGTAAAAATGTTAAATATAAACATATGAGGTTCCCAATTTTTTTTCAGCTCACATGACATACTGAGGTTGATTTACAAAAACTGGAGAGTGCAAAATCTGGTGCAGCTCTGCATAGAAACCAATCAGCTTCCAGCTTGTTTTAACTGAACAAGCTGATTGGATTGCACAGCTGCACCAGATTTTGCACTCTCCGGTTTTATTAAATTAAAGAAAGAAAAAAAAAAACAGGAGAATATTACAGCTCAACTCCAGCCTTTTATAGTTTTGGATGGAGGGGAGAATTGTTTGAACTGTCAGGGTTATGTTGACCTCTATATATGTGATGTGAGGATTTCCCTCACTTTTTGTGTGGGCACTGGATAGGAAGCAAGGGACAACCTCATTAGAGAGGCACAGAGAGCAATAAAACAAAATAGAGGTTCTAACATTTCTCAGTTTTAGCCATGACAAAAAAAATTGGCTGGAGGTGGCTTTAAAATATTTAAATGCAGTGATATGATTCTGAGAGCAACTGCTTTGTTATCAGCTAAAATTACATTAAAAAGAAATTCCATATAGCATTATGAACTTGGCAATGATTTGCCTCTACATTGTCTTGTGGGTCACTGAGAGAGTTAATGTAGGGTTACACAGAGGGTTAGTGGAGGAGTTACAGGGAGAGTTAATGTATGTATTACAGACATGACTGGTGCTTCCACTGGGCAAACTAGGCAGCCACCTAGGGTGCCCTGCCACTAGGGAAGGCTAGTGTAAGTGTTACAGGGAGAGTTAGTGTATGTAATACAGACATGACTGGTGCTTCCACTAGGTGAACTAGGCAGCCACCTAGGGCGCCCTGCCACTAGGGAAGGCTAGTGTAAGTGTTACAGGGAGAGTTAGTGTATGTAATACAGACATGACTGGTGCTTCCACTAGATGAACTAGACAGCCACCTAGGGTGCCCTGCCACTAGGGAAGGCTAGTGTAAGTGTTACAGGGAGAGTTAGTGTATGTAATACAGACATGACTGGTGCTTCCACTAGGCAAACTAGACAGCCACCTAGGGTGCCCTGCCACTAGGGAAGGCTAGTGTAAGTGTTACAGGGAGAGTTAGTGTATGTAATACAGACATGACTGGTGCTTCCACTAGGCAAACTAGGCAGCCACTTAGGGCGCCCTGCCACTAGGGAAGGCTAGTGTAAGTGTTACAGGGAGAGTTAATGTATGTATTACAGACATGACTGGTGCTTCCACTAGGTGAACTAGGCAGCCACCTAGGGCGCCCTGCCACTAGGGAAGGCTAGTGTAAGTGTTACAGGGAGGGTTATCGTAAG